TAAATGAAGAATTTAAAATTTAAAAAAACCCAGCAGAAAATCAGTTACTTTTCTCCTTAAAAGTTATTTTAGAAACCTACTCTGATCTACTTCTTACTTCTGCTCACTGTATACCACAGTGATCCTAGCAAAAATGGTTAAGAACTCAGGTTGTTCATGCGGGAGAGACAGGTTCGAATCCTGTTTTTTTAAATGTCGGGTGCAATGTGGCCCTAAATCCTTAAGCACGCGTTTACAGAGGGCCTAGTTGTCGCAAAACATGTTTTACTTTCTGCATCAGACATTAATTTCTTCATCCATTCTTCCATCTTCCGTGAATGTTGTACCCAGATATTTCAACTCACATACGTGTTTGATGCATTTGAACTCCACTGTTGTATATAATTTATGTTTTATGTTTCCCTGGGACATTACTTCTAAATACACTGATAAACACATGCACAACTGGCTGTTTTTGCCCGTAATAAACATTATAATATTTACCGTATGTTTCACGATGTCAAATTCAAAGGACGTCCATACGAGCATTGTTGGTTATGTTTACATGTATGACAAATAGTTTTAGGAGTTACTGTAGATAATATCAAACACACAAACGCAACAAACAAGGCAATAATAACCAAGGCCAAGTTCACGAAATCGAAGATAAAAAAATAATGAGCTGATACATCAAATTATCAAAACTTAAACCATCACTTGACTACAGATGTCCATATTCATGTTGTCATATTGTCATATTGGTGTTATCTCTGAATTTCTGCTTGTATGAGGTGACTGATCCGTCCAGTAATAAGCTGGTTCAGGTTAAAATCGTAGGTCCCCTAATAGCCTCCGAGACTTACAACTCAGAGAGTTCTAGCCTGAATGTGAGGCCAACATAAAAATTGCCAGAAACCTCGGACAAAAGTAAATAGAGCAGGTATAATGACCAAGGTTATCATTATACGCATGTACTCATTTGTTCAAGATGGCAACACTGTTTTAAAACAGATTCACAGATTACGGGCATTTCCCGACGGTAAATGTATGTAGGTAATTAGAACGATGGCTATGTGAAGTAGCTGCTCTGACAGCCCGGACACCTGAACCTCAGGCCAACAGCTGAAACAGGTCTAGTGTGGACACATTTCAATCATGTGTCTGATATGCATCTGTGTTCACTTGCATGGTATACAGTCCACTCAGCTTCTATCTGCTACGAGACAAGACGTATTTTATCAAACTTTATATACTGTTGTTTATTGGGACAGCCAGCTTGTGCGGATTTCCTATCAGGCAAATTGTTCACTCAAAAGTCCCTTTATATGTGTTATTGTATAGCGCTCTATCTCCTTGGCTATAAAGCACAACTCAGTCTGTGTACGTCCATAGCACATTAATGAGAGTGTGAATCCTCATTTTACAGCGGAAACATTACAATTTTCTCAGTTCACACCCATCACCTTTGTCATAAACAACAGTGAATAACAATAGTCTGATAAAACTGAATCAAACTGTGACTAACACGAAATAATAACAGGAACTCCACAGGGTAGCCTGCACTGCTGTGGTAGTGTTCATCAGTAGAAAGATCCCTCGTCGACGACTGTTTTGGCCAATTACTTCCTAGACAATCTCGGAAGGTGGGCCGGTCCCTCGCACAGTCAAGTATTGATTAAACGTATGCGATCTTGTTGACTTTACTTTTAGAAATATGTCCAGCTTTGAGGGTGAGCAGGGGGGCGACGGTAGGACTGGCCCTCACGTTGGCCCTGGACCTGGCTTGATCCACAATGTCCGCTAACTCTTTTAGGACTTTAATGTGGCGCCAAGTACATCGTCCTTGGCCTAGGGTTTTTCTGCACGCGGACAATACCTGCTCGAGCGTCTGCTCAACTCTGCACAGTGGGCATGTCGGAGCGGTAGTCGCATGCCATTTAACCATGTTGACGCCAGATGGTAACACATCGTACGCAGATCTTACGACAAAGCTCAGCTCCAGCAGGGCCATTCGCCAGATCTCACCATTTGTGAGTATTCGAGGCAAGGCTCGCTGGAGGCCGATCCAATGGCTAAGCTGCGAATGCTCCGCGGTTTTTTTAAACCCGATTTGCGTTTTCAGTGTCCTTTATCTGCTGTATTACCATGTCCCTGCGTTTTTTGGCCGTGGCTTTGGACCACCAACTGACTTTCCCATGCCCTAGGCCGCATCGGTCGGTTTGTGTGAAATACATGACTTCCTTCAATTTCAGCGCTTCTTGAGCAGATTCTATCGAATCAAGGACCTTCCATTTCGTATTTGTCTTTAGACCGGATCAAACATCTGCCACCGTGGGGTCTACAGACTAGCACAGCATCATCGACTTAAAACTCTTCGGTTATTGATTTGAATTGAAGTACCAACCTAGCCTGTTTGCAATAAAGAGCTACGTTGGTCAGGCAAGGTGGTGCTCCAAGTTATTTCCTTTTTTATCCATTTTCTTCACTGCAGTCATGGTACACGAGCAGCGACCAGAGGGCTTTGCAGTCAACATAAACTGAAGACACCAGACCTTCAAGTTCCTGATCAGCCTGCGTCGCTTAAAAGCCTGCAGGCCTGTTGCTAGTGACTCATGCATACGTCGGACCTCCGTTCTGTGAGATAACTTAGAATCGTAGACGCGGCTCTTCACTGGTTCCTCCAGAACCGAGGGGATCCTTTTGCATGCCACAGTGAAACTGATTGCCTCGACTTTACTTTTAAGGATTGAGAAACTTCTGGATTTCTGTGAATTTAACTGCATGTCACACCATTCAACAAAACTGTTCAACCTCTTCAGAATCGTGGAGCATCATCCTCACTGCCCATTATGATAGTTTTTTTCATCCATAAATGCACGTATTGGCGGCATCCAGAGGTCCCCACTTCAAAAGCACTGCCCGTAGCTGGCTATCACGCCTAACATGACCTGCAAGGCCGTTACGAACAGTATTGGCGAAATCGTATCTCCCATTGCTAAACCAACGTGAGGGTCAATCCACCTCGAAGTAAACGTGGGAGCAAAGCAACTATTGCGAATTTAACAAATATTGTTCCATTATTTCGGTGATCCGTGTCGGTACGTGAAGCATGCGAAGGGCCTGCCATGATACCTTATGGGGTAGCGCCCTATTGGCGTTGGCGAGGTCCAACGATATCACATGCATATCGGTCTTCTTTGCCTTAGCTCTCTGGATACTCTCCCAGATCATGGTCGCATGCTTAAGACGTCCGGGGACGTCCGAGATGCCCCGTTTCTGAACCGTTGTGTCAATGTATTAGTTCTCCATCAAATACTGTGTGAGTCTGCGTGCCATAACCCAGAAAAATATCTTTAACACCACAAGTTCAACACCAATGTAAGACTGAATTATGCTAGACTGGAGGAGTCTCGCTTCTTGTGAATGTAGACTCCGTTGACTCTCTCCCTCTGTGCACATATGTGCTTTCAGCTCCACGCTAATCTAAGCAAGCGATGAAGCATTCAGAGGACTTTCAGACAGGTTTATACACCACGTTCGGTACACTGTTGGATCTTGGGGCAGATTTGTCGCTGGCTCTCTTTACAATTTATTCGACCTCTGGCCAAGAGGGAGGCATCGTTTTAAACGGTACCTTTCGGCAACTCTGGCCCCTTTAGCCTTCTGGTGATCTCTCCGCTGTCATCGAGAAGTTAATTTCTTGCCTGTTAAAATACGTTTTCAGTAGATGTGGCTCCAGCTCCTCTTTACCGACAACCAGAATCCCAGTATTTGGTTGCTCGATCAGGCCTCGGGCAAACTGGAACGGGTCCCTAAAGTACTTCTCTGGCTCCCTTTTGGTTCTCCATCTGTTCTTACAGAAACGCTCAGCGCGAACGAAAGCAATGTGTCTGCTCTTGGGATGTAGTCAGACCTTGTACAGTCCCTCCCGTTCGTTGCCCGTGGCGGCTTTGAACCGTTTTCTGAGTGCGTTCTTGTTTGCTTGACACTTCTCAAACTTCCTCTGCCTCCTGCTTTTTTCGTGTGTGACGCCTGGCTGCGTATTTTCGGCTGTCCTGAACTCGCGTTTACATTGCATGTAGATTACACGCCGCTGTAAAATTACTGTAAGCCTTCTGTTTTGCGTGTCAAATCAAATATGTCTTTCTTATCCTGACTGGTTTCTTATTCTTTTCTTTTGTGTATTGTTTATAAGTCAAAGCAAAGTAAGCTCCTCCCGTTAAACTTGATTTCGCTAATGAAGAGATGGTCTTTATTGTACTCAGAACTCTGCGTGTGAGGGTGTCAAAAGCTAAGAGTTGGCTGACCGAAGCTACAATCCGCTGCTTCTCATCTCCTACCTTGTTCTTTAATAGAATTCACATCTAGCTTCTTAAGCAAAACTTTGTCTGCTTTCAGATATTCAGCTGTAGACGACTATAGCATTGCAGAAGACCAGAATTTTTCTGACACAATTTGGTTTAGATCAAATTCCTAGAAAACATGCTATCACGGTACCTTTTCCGACTGTCCGGACTATAGTGTTGTAGCGTGTTATAGTCCAACGTAGGAAACACCGCTCAGGACAATAGCGACTGTGATGACCAAGGCCAACTTGTGTTAAGAAGAGTCCTCCACAATAAATGTTTACTATTTTAGGACCATTTTTGCCATCGCAAGCATTTTTCATTGTTACAAACACTCTCTTCTTAACCAATCTGAAGTGAATTTCTCCTGTGTTCCGGTTCCCTTTCTGATGTGTCCCTTGAGCTAAAACTAATTTCGTGCAATTCTGCTTCCATGAATCCATCCTAATACACATTTCACTCATGTATTTAATGTTATGTCCACTTGGGAATCAGGTCAAATAAAAAAAAAGGCCGGTTCTTTAAGGGCCTGAACCCACGACCTTTTGATCCGCAGGCAAGCGTCTAGCCGCTATATCAGAGCGGCTCCTGCTAGTCCGTGTGGGGCCGATGGTATCTACTCTGACGATGTACTTACATCAAAGCTGAGCTAGTTCCTATCAAGAATGTGTAGTTCTACCTATCAGCTGCTCCGCCCCTGGAGACACCGCTGGCTGTGTAGAAACATGCCAGACAGCCCATACCTATGACCATCAGCACGAGGACAGCGTCGACGCCCACGATAACTGCTATGCTGAACAGATAGAGCGACCTCTCACACCACATGTCGGGCCTGCGGACGTGAAACAGGTTCCTAATTATTGCATTGCGTGCTCAAAAAGCATTTTTAAATGGTTATTTTTGGGTGATAACATTAGAGGCATGGTAGCTTGTATGTATTGATTGGTTTTTGTTTACTGTGAGGTCAACGGAGAATTTGATTTGTTGGTAAATCCTCTGGGAAAATGTGATTTAATGTAAAGTCAGTGCAGGACTTAAAATCGAGGCATTGGTGACCAGAAAGGCTCGATACAGGAAAGTCCAGAATCTGGGAGTTCAAGACAGACAGACAGACAGACAGACAGACAGACAGACAGACAGACAGACAGACAGACAGACAGACAGACAGACTAGACAGACAGACAGACAGACAGACAGACAGACAGACAGACAGACAGATAGACAGATAGGCAGATAGGCAGGCAGGCAGGCAGGCAGGCAGGCAGATAGATAGATAGATAGATAGATAGATAGATAGATAGATAGATAGATAGATAGATAGATAGATAGATAGATAGATAGAACGAACGATAGAACGAAGATAGATAGATAGATACAAATTAGGCACGCAGGCCTGTCTTAGATAGATTCCAGAAGATTCCATAGATAGCATAGCAGTAGATTTTAGATAGATAGATAGATAGATAGATAGATAGATAGATAGATAGATAGATAGATAGATAGATAGATAGATAGATAGATAGATAGATAGATAGATAGATAGATAGATAGATAGATAGATAGATAGATAGACAGATAGACAGATAGATAGACAGACAGATAGACAGACAGACAGACAGCGACATGTTGTATGTTGTACGACAACATACAGACAACAGACAGTACTAACAGGGTCGCCACAGACAGACAGAACTGTATTACAGACAGTCGACGACAGACAAACAGAAGATAGTATTAGATAGGTAGTCACAAGATCTAGATAGATAGATTAGATAGATAGATCGATACAATAGATAGATAGTATTAGATAGGGTCGTCAGATAGATAAGATAGATAGATAGATAGAAGATAGATAGATAGATAGATAAGGAACTGTATAGAGGGATAGATACATAGATAGATAGATAGAACTGTATAGATAGGGATCGCCACAAGATAGATGGAAGATGATATTAAAATAGATCGTCACAACATAGATAGATGTATTAAATAGATAGTAGATAAATATATAGAAGATAGATAGATAGAGGGATGTCACATAGATAGATAGATTGATAGATAGGGTCGACACACACAAAAAGAAAGGGTATTAAAGGGTTGCCTTAAGAAGCACCACTTTCACAGTATTTAGAAACTCTGTTGTAAATTATTGTTTATACATTCAGTAATTTTTCAAACGTAGAATAATTTTTTTTTTTATTTACTATTCAGCAGATTATTACTATGCTCTAAAACTAAGTTATGCCTGAACCATTTTGTTCTGGCCTAGCAAAAAAATTTTGAGATAGGTGCAGCACCACATCTTCAAACATCCCCCCCCCCCCCCAACTTTATTGAAGGGTAGCCACAACATAAGAAACTGTATTACAGGGTTGCCACAACATGAGGAGCTGTATTAAAGGGTTGCCACAACATAAGGAGCTGTATTAAAGGGTCACCACATCATAAGGAACTGTATTAAAGGGTCGCCACAACATAAGGAACTGTATTAAAGGGTTGTCACAACATAAGGAACTGTATTAAAGGGTCGCCACAACATAAGGAACTGTATTAAAGGGTCGCCACAACATGAGGAACTGTATTAAAGGGTCGTCACAACATAAGGAACTGTATTAAAGGGTCGCCACAACATAAGGAACTGTATTAAAGGGTCGTCACAACATAAGGAACTGTATTAAAGGGTCGCCACAACATAAGGAACTGTATTAAAGGGTCGCCACATTAGGAAGGTTGAGAACCTCTGTCTAGTTGGTTAGTCAATCAGATACTATTTTATTAGTTTTTATTTTTTTTATTTTTTATTTAATATTTTTTGATATGTTTAGAAATCAGTCCCTGCGTGCAGTGATGCCTGGTGATTATTTTGATATGTTTAGAAATAGTTCACATGTACAGCGATGCTTGATGATTATTTTGATATGTTTAGAAATCAGTCCACATGTGCAGTGATGCGTGATGATTATTTTGATATATGTTTAGAAATTATTTCACATGTACAGCGATGCTTGATGATTATTTTGATATGTTTAGAAATCACTCCACACGTGCAGTGATGCCTGATGATTATTTTGATATGTTTGGAAATCATTCCACATGTACAGCGATGCTTGGTGATTATTTTGATATGTTTAGAAATCAATTCTCATGTGCAATGATGCTTGATGATTACTTTGATATGTTTAGAAATCAGTCCACACGTGCAACGATGCATGATAATTATTTTGATAGCTCCACTTGGATAAAATAAAAAACCCACAACTCACTGGATGCTGAAGCCGGAAATGACCACATGAGAGTGTAACACCTATGAAACTCGTGCAATTTGATGTTTTGAAAAGTTTATGTTACTCAATAAACTCTAATAATAAACTCTCAATAAACTGTATCTCAGAGGAAAGGCAAGAGGGACGTACAATCTGAATAGTACTGACACCATTGGTATTGGAACTCTGTGATGGCTGGTGAAAATAGGAACGGAGCGCTTATGGGAATGGTCTCAGTGCTGTGATATGAATCTTGAATCAACTCCTCCATTTTATAATCCCAACGCACGATGATTGTTTTCTTCAAATCGGCGTCTGTCTTTTTCATGTGTGTGTTGTCCATCAAGATGATGATGACCACTCTTTTTCATCAAGTATGAGTACGAAGATGACTGATGAGGCCGATGCGGGCCCGAAATCGGGAACAACCCAATTGATTGAGTGATATTATGCTCGGTAGACAAGAGACATAAAAAGACTCTTTATTTACTTTTTTACACTAGGAACAAAGCATGTCCACACAGGACAGTCTTTCATGATCATCGTCATCATCATTACTCTTGTTCATCAAGGCTCGTAGTACATTTTTCCATTCTGTGTCATCCTATGCAATTTGTTTGTTTGTTTGTTTGTTTGTTTGTTTGTTTGTTATCAAACGAACTTTTACACGGCAGGGGCAGCTGCCCCACATCTAACCCTCCTCCTTGTTCATCCGGATATGGGACCGGTAATGGCGGAGATGCACGATATGACAGGTGAAACACTTAGCAGTCTATAGGTTTTATGTGAACATGTTGGTCGTGGATGTGCTGCTAAAAATAAAGGGTACATATTCACCTGTGTAGTAGAGGCTGAAACAGTGGTTTCCAGATCCGAAACACCCAGACAGTCCCGAGTATAAGCCAGGTTAGTAGAAACAAGGACAAGATGATGTCAAGTGTCCTGTAGGTTCGGTCATGAATGCCTCCTTCCCGGCCAACTGTGTCGTAGATGTTATCGGTGCTGCCTTGATGGCGACGCTGTCAAAGAAATATGCTCTCATTGGTGCTTCAACGACTGATATATTAATGTGCATGTATGTACATGTATGTGTAAGTAAGTGAGTGATTGAGTGAGTTGATGTGTGTGCTCGGGAGCGAGGAGGTGTGAGCATGCATGTTACCACCAATGCTTTTGTTTGTTTTTGTTTCTTATTATTCTTAATATACCTATTACGAGATTTTTTTACGATCATAACCTGCTTTATTGATAAAATGCAACTGCTGTGTGAAAGATGTGTTTTTGGAAGGGCTGAATGTAAGACGGGCCTGCCACCCCATTTGTGACCCTTGGAAAATAGTGTTCGTTCTTTCGTTCGTTCTCTTTCTCCCCCCCCCCTTTACTATCGTCTCTCTCTCTCTCCCTCTCTCTCTATCTCTCTCTCTCTATATGTATATATATATATATATATATATATATATATATATATATATATATATATATATATTGAATGTCTGCGCTAGCAGGAAGTGCCATTCTTATGTGGGACCTGTAGAGGTGACACGTCTGAAAATCTGCCTTGTGCATTTTTATTTTACGTGTGCATACTTCAAGATTTTTCCGGGACTGACAAGTTTTTCACTAGTTTTGAAACAAGACAGTGAAATACAATTGATGTGATTTCCACTGACTCAGGAGGGATTGAGCAGTTAGTTATGGGCTCACAAGTCTGCAGTGAGGTTTTAACATCGACTAAATAGCACTCAGACACATACATTGCAGACACTCTTAGCACTGTAAGGTTATGTCCGTACTGCTATGAAGTTGATCCTGAAATTAAGAACGAACAGTGAACCCTTCCGCAAAATTTCTTATGGACAGATTATCTCACCTGGATGGATCTGTACACGGTGACGGCAATCTTGAGTACCCCAAAACATCCACCCACCATGTGGAAGATTGGTATTTTAGGCTCTAGGGGACATTCCTCCAAATATTTTACACCTGGAAAGTAAACAGACAGGGTGTTTGTAAAGTCTCACTACACTTTGTATGCAGATGAAATCTGGAAAAAGAATATACGAGGTCATCAACAAATATGCTAAGACGTCATACAATAGTTACTTCAAGATGAGTGGCTGGCCGAACGGTTAGAAGGATGGGTTTTCAAGCGGGAGACCCGGGTTCGAATCCTCAGTAAGGCTGGGGATGTTTTCTGTCGGAGCAAAATATAATCCTCACCTGCACAGTCGTGGCGACAGCACAAGCCATGTGGCCTTAAATCCTCAGGCTCAAAGACCCATCCCCCCCCCCCCATCCCACCCCACCTAAACCGCAAAAGTGGTAAAATAAAGGCAGTAATCAGTCACTGCTATGGTCTAACACTTTTTGGGGAAAGCTGAGAGTAATCAATGAAATATGTATTATAACAGG